GAGAGAGAGAGAGAGAGAGAGAGAGAGAGAGAGAGAGAGAGAGAGAGAGAGAGAGAGAGAGAGAGAGAGAGAGAGAGAGAGAGAGAGAGAAGCACGCAGAATCGACCAGAGGCTGAGAAAGGAGGTCGAGCGAAGGAGGTCGGCAATCACCATTCACGCAAGACTCGGCTTTTCCTTTAGTAGTATGTAGATACTTTGCACTGTTTGCAGCGACTGGATGCATGCCTGCATGTTGAGAGTTCCATTAGAAATAGCTGTATTTCTGAACCCAACAGATTATGGCCGTATTTAATTTTGTTTTATGCAGCTGGCCGTTGCCAGAAGGTAGCTTTGCTTCATTGGCTCATATGATGGTGACATATTATAGCTGGCAGTTTCACTTTGACGATATGTGGGATTTGGGTACACTGAAACGGTTTTACCCAGTTGACCCGACATTGCAGACACAGAGATTCGATCCCCAGACCTGTGCCCGAACCCTGTACATTGAGCCTGTGTGCTGAGTGAGATTCGATCCCTAGACCTACCCTGTACCCTGAACATTGACCCTGTGTGCTGAGTGAGATTCGATCCCTAGACCTATCCTGTACACTGTACATAGGCCCAGTGATCTGTGTAGGACTTGATCCCTCAGTAGGTTAGGAGTTGAGTCTGTTAGCAGTAGTCCTAAACAGTCTGTTCTAGAAGTCTCTACCTGAGTTTACTGTGGGCCTAGAGTCTGTCTGTCGGTCTGTAGGTTCTAGAAGTCTGTAGGACCCTGTAGTCCAGTCCAGTCAGCAGGTACTAAGGGAAAGGGGCTGCAGGTGGGAACAGGGAAAGGCCTACGCGTTCTGGAGAAGACTCCAGAAGACGCGTATGGGCCCAGGGCCACACGGTTTGACCCACGCGGTGAACAGAAGGCTCCAGAAACGCGGTTTGCGGCCCAGCTGTCACGCGTCTTGGCCCAGGCCCACGCGGTTTGAGGCAGGGCCCGGGTACCTCCGAAGAAGTATAAATAAACAGGCAGCATCCAGCCGGTCATTCATTTGCCTGTGACCCATGCGGAAGTGCTGTCTTGGTATCTTGTGCGTGGAGGTCTGCAGGTGTCGGAGAGGAAGTGGGCAGTGAGGAAGACAGCGGCCATAGCTGGCCAGTGAAGGAGACAACGGCCGCCATAGCTAGGAGGAGGAAGACGACGGCGACCATAGCTGCCCAGCTGTTGGTGCAGATGGTGTACAGAATGTGTGTGTCTGTGCAGCGTGGACATTCAGGGTGATCCCCGTACAAGCGTGCATGTGAGAGTGAGGGAGGTGAGGCTCGTGGTAGAGACAGTGTTCGGTGGCCATAGCCGCAAGTTGTACACTTGTTCTGAACAGAGTTTAAGAGAAAGTCCGTTGTTGATTCTGAGTTGACGAGTTTGGTTTGCCATCGGCTCTCATGTATGCATGTTGTGAGCAAGTCCAGAGTCGAGTCTGATTGCAACACAAAAGATTAAAGAATATTTCAAAGATTGGACCGTTTCTCGGTTTGTCCGTGTCATCCTTTGCACAGGAGTCATGCTAGACGTCTCTGTATCGGTTCCAATTACAGTGGGTGTTGCGAAGGATGACGTTTTGTACATCTTGCTGAATATATTTGTTAATCGCTTTTGCCTGTTAGCTGCCCTTTACTTCATACTGAGTACAGTGAGTAGTGATATGTAAAAGCGCTGAAACCTGTGAGAACACTGAGAAGTCCTGCAACTGTTTTATAACGCAGAAGGTGGATTGGTCCTTTTTTTGTTCGTCTGTTTGACTTATGTTCGGAATAAGGAATAATAATAATAAAGTGTCCTTCGGGACACCCATTAAAATTGGAACGATACAGAGAAGATTAATTAGCATGGCCCCTGCACAAGGATGACACACATAAATCGAGAAATGCTCCAAAAAAGAAAAGAAGAGAAAAGACGAGGAATAATAATAGAGCTAGTCGTGCTTTTTTCCTTTGCGACCGACCTGACGTCGTATTGGATGGATTTGCTGCCTGTCCTTCTGCAGGTGTGTGCATTGTGGTATTGGGGAGAGGTCGACGCCTATGATGCGACGAGGTCCGTCAGGACCACGAACGCTCTGTAACGCATGCGGGTTGATGTGGGCAAACAAGGTATGGGATGTGTGCTCTGAACCAAGGAATGATGGTTGTTGAACATGTTTCCGTCCATTCACTTCTTTTTTTCTTTTCATAAAGCCGTCGTTAGATTGACCAGGGATTCATCTGGTTGGCTGCATCTGGATTCGAACTTGGGTCTGTATATCAACAAGCTCATGGGTGTACCAACTGGGCTAGGCCAGTTGGTGCGTTTTCGTCCACCCTATTCCTGACTGCGGTGCATTTTTTTTCTAAGAACAGGGTTGGCACGATAGTGACAGATGGTTTGAAGAGTGCCAATATTTTCCAGTTTTCACTTTTGTCATATTGAACAAATTCGTATAATTACTATAATAATAATGATATCCAGTATTATTCATTTGATGTTTTTGCTGACCCCACAACAGCCAACATGATAAACATTGGTGAGAACGAACAGCATGGGTGCACGCTTCGCCTCGCTCCAGTAGCCAACTTTCTAAATGCATTTGGATGCCGTTGCGGACCAGGTGCATTTCGAGGAGTCCAACATTTTGAATGTATCTGGAAGGCCAAATATTGGATGTTTTTGCTGCCCCCAGCACAGCAGACATGATAATGTTGGCGATAACAAACAGCATCGGTGCACTCCAGTTTCTTGCCATTCTAAATGCATTTGGATTCCTTTTGCGACCAGGTGCATTCCGAGGAGTTGAACATTTTGAATGCACCAGACGACCCAAAACTTGATGTTTTTGGTGGTCCCCACCCAGAGCCAACGTGCTAAACATTGGTGAGAACAAACAACATAGTGCACACTCTGCCTTTTTGAACCAGTGCCTTTGCTAGGAGAGGTGGTACGAGCACTCCCTCCTAGCAAGATTCCTGGGTGCTCTGGTCTATTGGTGGGGAGCAGCACCTGCTGGAAAGCGGGTCCAGCGTCCCACTATACATCAGAAGGCCTGCCAGCGCTGATGGTGCACACTGCGCCTAGCTCCAGTTACTCAACATTCTGCATGCATTTGGATGCTGTTGGCGACCAGGTGCATTCCGAGGAGTCCAATTGAATGTATTGGGACGATCGCCAGCTCCTGGTACATAGTGTAGTGGGGCGAGGCCCAATATGGACATAAAAGATATGTGGAAAAAGAACAAAAGAAAAAAAGAAAACAAGAACACCATAAAACACTATCATCAGAACCTTTTGCAGCTGTGATAAGCATCAAAAAGAAAAAACACTACCAGTCTGCAAAATGTGAAATAGTCGTTAGACTCGTTTTACTATCTTTCTGGTGACGTCAGCGCTCAATTCCAAAAGCGCTCCTATCAGTCTGGAAAATGTGCGAACACAATGGGAGGTTCCATGTAGCATATCAGAAAGTGAAATGCACTAACAGCCTAGGATCTAGCAATGATGAAAGTGGCAACAACCAGCAGCATAGATGCAACATTCACCAGATGTCAATGTGCACAATGCAACAAGTAAACCAACGAGAAAAACAACAACAACACATTTGCATCATCATCATTATGGGCTGGGGAACAGCGCAGCGGAATAATAGTAACCAAGAGGACACGTGGACAACAACAGGAAAGGGAGAAACTTCGGAAGGGCAGGACATTAGAGAGATTGCCCTTCCGCTCACACACATAGGGAGAGATCCATAGACATGCGAGAGAGAAGGGGGGGGAAGGGACATAGGAGGTAACCAAGTCCAACCCAAGTCTGATCTCCGAATGTCGTGCACAGTTCAATCCCAATGTAGCGTGTAAGTCCGGTCTGAATGTCGTGTCCAATAAGGCAGAATGCCGTGCCCAAACAATGTCTGCAGTCACCTCTATCTCTACTCTGATCAAGACGAGGAAGAAGAAGAAGAAGTAGAGGAAAGAACTGTGGAGGAGTAGGAGGAGAAGAAGAAGAAGAAGAAGAGGTAGAAAGCTGGGCGCTTTCTGCACTTACCTGGCGATGGCTGAACTGCAGATACCGCGGAGCCAGCTATGGCGCTGGCCCAGGTAAGTCTTCTTCTCTCTCTCTCTCTCTCTCTCTCTCTCTCTCTCTCTCTGGCGCTGGACTCCTCCAGCGCTGGACCTTCCTTGCTGATGAGCAGCGAAGCTGCCGTCTGAATAGCACAGCAGGGAGGCCGAAATAGCGCAGCAGGGAGTCTCCAAAATAGCGCAGCAGCCAAGTCTTGAACCAGCGTAACGCTGGATTTCTCCTGGTACCTCCCCCTGAACTGGGTGCTGGCCCCGCTTAAGTAGTGCTGGGCCGGACCCAGTAGTCCACGGCCTGCAATCTTGGCCGTGTAGATCAAAGCCTGATCCGCAGTCCAGATCGCAGGCTTCAGTCCTTGGCCAAAAAAAACGGCCTGCCTGGGTCCCTACCGGACGTCCAGGCCCTGCCTAGGTCTGGCCGATTTGGTACCTGGCCTGATTCAGGGCCTGTGCGACTGCATCAGGCCTGAACATCTGTCCAGGTCCAAAGTCTGTCCGAAAACGAGTAAAGGTCCAAACGTCTGGCCAAAAACGAGTAAAGGTCCAAACGTCTGGCCAAAAACGAGTAAAGGTCCAAACGTTTTTCTGAAAACGAGTAACGGTCCAAACTGAATTAGAGGCTCAGCCTCTGGGCCTGATTCCGGCCCTGGTCCTAACTGTGTACCTGGCCACAAAACGGACAACAGCACATTAGTAAAAACACATCAGTAAATAAATAAATAAGAAATCAACTTAAAGTTGAAGTCTTTCCGATGCAGGCCTAAGTAAAATGGCCGTAGGGCCTCCAGGTTGCGGTGACGCGACCTGGGGGCCTTTATCCAACCTCGGGTCCCGTGAGGGGCCCGTGTGGAGGCTCTCAGCATGTAACATTCCATGAAGAATGTTTAGACCATAAAAAAGAAAATAATAATGAAATATCGACAAAATATGGGAACTATCTAGGAAGATTTGCACGCCCGGCCGATTCCGCCTGGGTTGGGCACCCGGGCGTGGTGTCCGGTCTGGTCTGGTGCCCGGGTCAGCAGGGCGTGAGACCGTTTGTCTCGCAAAGCGCGCTATTTTAATTCATAGGTATGTGACGATATATTTCGGCATTACGACCGTTCCTCGCCCTGCCTAAGGGGCCATAACCCGGTGTGTTTCAGATTTTTTGTTGATTTTTTTTTTTTTTTTTTTTTTTTTTTTGGGGGGGGGGGGGTGGGGTGTTGGGGGGAGGCGGGAAGTAGATGATAAAGAAGAAGAGGAAGAAGAAGAAGAACAGTACAAGGAGGAGGAGGAGGAGTAGAAGGATCGGGGTGGATGGAGGTGACCAAAGGAGGAAGAGAGACGATCAAGGTGGAGCCTGGAGGGAGGCATGTCTCGAGAACATTCAATTAGATCATTTAAAAAAAAAAAAAAAGATAATGTTTTTACAACTCAGCGGTTCTCCTCCCCTCTCTGTATCGTCATCAGCAGGTGTTTTCTCCAGGGAATATGTGTGGTTGGAGTTGTCATTGTGCTGATAATCATTACGACATACATCCTTGGAAGAAAAAACAGTCGTTGTGTGAGCATGCCGTCGCTGTCGATTCACCGTTGCTCTTTTCGTGTTATTATGTTTCAGGGTGTTCTTAGGGATCTAACGAAGACTCCAGTTGCGACGATGAATAGTGTGCAGCAGCAGCAGTCGCTCCATCCTCATCATCAACAGCAACAGCAGCAGCAGACACAACCACAGCAACCACAACAGGTATGTGCGCATGTTGTCCATCTGATCTCTTTCTTTTCTTTTCTTTTCTTTTCTGTCGCAAAAACAAACGTCTTTTATTGAGTCGTCGATGTGATCTTCTGTGTGTGCATGTCTAACGTTTTCGTGCACGTTCACGGGAATTCATGCGTGTTCACAGGAAGTGTAACTTGGCTCCTCGTTCACCAACCGCATGTCAATGAGTTCGACGTGTGTCATTTGTTACATGGCTCTAGTTCACCAACCGCATAGTCCGTGTTAGGCGTTTGAGGTTGGGAAAATAACACATTTTTGAGGGTAATTACTAATTAGCACAGTCGGTAGAGTGCCTCGTTAACGCCGAGAATGCTGGTGTACTCGTATCAGGTGTGGTAATCTCCTTGCACACCCACACACACGTCAATATTGTTTCATCTCTCTCTCTTCCGTTAGCTGCCCGGTTCCTGTTGAAGCTGCCGGCAAGCTATGACACTCTATATCAGGGTCGCTAATTTCCTCACTGTGATCTGTGTGTCACAATGAAACGGTACCTTGTACCTCTTCTTGGGTTGCGGCAAAGTATAACGAGATGAACGAGTGGCGAGACTCACTTTTTTTTTTTTTTTTTTTTGCCCCCCAAAAAAACAACTCAGCCCCCTCTATTCTGGGGGGTATCAGTCCGGTTGCTTATCATCACTGGCGAGCAGAGTTCCAAAGTACAAATTATTTGTAGGAAAAGAGGAAAGCCTTACCCTTGTGGGCCGAGATGCCTAACAAGGGGGGGATTGTTACAACCGATCCCTCTTCCTATACCATAGCCTCCCCAGGGATACTTCTGTTGGTCGGGAGGCTTCCTAGCAGCACCCAGCCACACAACAGATGGGTCCCCAGGGAAGGCCTGGCCCGGGGGGGGCCTTTCTAGCAGTCTCACAGGCCTCGCATCCTGTCAGTCACACCCTCTTTTCAACCATCTTTTTTGTACCTACTAACCCTCTTTTAGTCTAGATCCTTCCCTATCCCGTCTTCCTACTGAATCCTTAAGTCTCGTCTAATTCTTCCACCAATCTCCTTTGTCCATCCTATTAGTCACGCCCTCTGTTCAATCCTCTTTTTTATAACTGCTACACTCTTTTAGTCTAGTCGCTTCCATATACCCGGCTGCCTATTGTGTGGTTAAGTCTCATCTAATTCTTCTTCTTCTTCTTCTTCTTTTTTTTTTTTTTTTTTTTTTTTTTAATTTGGACCATTTCTCGATTTATGCATGTCATCCTTGTGCAGGGGCCATGCTAATCTTCTCTGTATCGTTCCAATTTTAACGGATCCTGTCTCCTTTGTCTTTGCTATCACCGCTTTCCTCTTGCCCTTCCACAGCATTAAGAATTCGATTTATTACATTGACAAAATCGAATATATAATTTTCACAAGATAGATCATGAATTAGAATCTATTCTTTTTACCTCGAGCGCTGCACATGCGCTTTCAGATTCTAATTCACCCACCAGTTCAGCCAAGTGAGCCAAGTCTATTTGTTTGTATGAACTGACGACCTCCGCAAGGCTGTGTGGCACCAACTTTGATTGAAATATGCATTCGGTTTCGAGCCAAGGCCATAATTACCTGGTTTATTTAAAAAAAAAAAAAAAAGAACGAAAAGCCTCCAAAGTCGGCGTGTGCGGAACGTTGCACACCCCTTGGGTACGGAGCCGAATCCCTTGGGTCACTGGAGGCCACGAAGCCGGATTCTCTCACCGCGTGTACTGGTCGGCGGACCTAGCTTCGGCTGAAGTGGTGGAGGTCTAACCAACTGTCGGTACTTTGCCCAGGGCAAGCTTGAGAATGGAAATCGAGCCAATCGGAAATTTGGAGGCTCGCGGATCCTGCACCGAAATGGCTGGTGGCACCCACCAAACGAAAAGAAAAAGCACCAATCTGGTGTCTCAGCAAAGCTTGGCGCAACACCTTGGCAAAAAAAAGAGGCCACTCCCCCCTCGGCAAAGACAGGAGGCTCGGAGGTGGTGGTGATTTAGCTTCGATAAGCCAGCCCCCCTTAAGGGCCTTACAAGTTCCTTAAACCATTTGTAGTCGTTGGCATAAACGTCTCCTCTTTCCGGACTGTGATCAGCTTGACAACTTCCAGGTAGGACATGTAATCATAATCATATTGAAGGATGAGTTTCGACCGTCTTTTTTTTTAGCTACCGATTTTCGTTCCGAAGTGATGTCAGTTGAGATAGATTAACAGTGATGTGATGGTTTGTGCGGGGGTAGTTCTTTCTATCTTTCTTGAAGCTTGTTCCTTTTCTTTTTTTTTTTTTCTTTTTTTTTCGGTGGATGGGTAGTGAATCAAGTGATTAGCTCATTGTACTGTCATGTGATATTGCAGGTGTTCTTGCAGTCCAGCCAGCCAGTACTTCAGGCGCATCAGCAATCTTATAGTGCAGCGCTTGCTCATTCACATCCACACGCACACCAAGCGACACACCACCAAGTGGGGACGATCCAGGGATTGCAGGAGACAACACAACATATGCAGCATTCAGTTGATGGGGGACCCCAGGTGAGAATACTGTCCGCGCACGTTCTTTAGGTTCGCAAGAAGAAAAAAATTCAAAGAATCGAAACTTGTTTGAGTTCCTGCGTTACCACTGTGATTCCCTTTGATACTTTCATCAGAGAGATTGTATGATTCTGAGCTTTCATCAGAGAGACTCCTTTGTTCCCTTCCATTTGTTGATATTGATTCTGAGCTTTCATCAGAAAGATGCAATACGGACTTCGGTTCAATTTCTGACGATTGCCGTCTCGTTTGCTACGTCATGCCAAATATGTGAGGTGAGAGAAGAATATACGGCTGTCCCCCGATGAGGAGAAGGCAGGAACATTAGGATCTAAAGCTTTCATGTACATTGTTTCTTGCTCCTGACCCTGACCCTTTTGCCACAAGCACTGTGGCAAAAATGCCCTTAAACCACCAGTACTTCGCCCAGCTATCGATGCCGAGCCTGAAATGCCCCTGCGCGCCGATTTTCGCCAAAGAGCCGGGGTACCGTTTCAAAATTGTTTCGGCTGGCGCTTCCAACCATTGAGGTCTGGTACCCCGAAGCCCTAGAGGCGCGGCGCGTTAACGGGAAAGCGCCTCGGCCGATAGCCAGGCCAAGTACCGGTGGTTTAAGGCCTTTGCTCGTGCAAAGTGCTTTGCATTGTCTGAGTGAAGGTGACCTGTAGCTTCAACTGCTGGTTAAGGACCACCACTACTTCCTAAAGTTGTGCCCGTTAACAAGCCACAATTTTATGAAACGTACGGGCCACTACACGAGTGTCCAAATTCATCCGACTAGAAACGTTTCTACTCTATTTTTTCCTGCGTCCACGTACTGGTGGTTTAAGGACCACGTTTCATGTTCAAAGGACAAATACCCAGGCAATGTCTCTAATGTCTCTAATCTCTTCAAAAAAGGAATCTGAGGTGTGAAGGATTTTTTTATTTTTTTATTTTATTTTTTAAGGTAATTAGGACCACTTCTCGATATATACGTGTCATTCTAGCGCGGGGTCCCTGATAATCTTCTTTCTCTGTAACGGATGTCCCGAAGGACAGGTGTGACGGAGTGTTTAACTTTTGCAAAAATTGCATCTGTATCCCCCCTTAAAGATGGGAATTTCCGCTATACCCAGTCCCAGTGCTCAACTTGCATCTATATACCCGGACCCCGTTCGACTTTGCAGAGTACAGACTTTTCCCCAGTTTGAAATCGTAGGCGTACCCAGTCCCGCAGGCCCTCAGTTCCGGGCAACGAAGTTATGCCCATGTCCACAAACGGGCTGGCGAAATTGCGGGTGTACCCACGGCCAGGGGTGGGGTAGACGTCAAAATTATGCTCATGCCCACGACGAGGACTGTTGTGGCCCAGCGGCTGCTGGGTAAGAGCAGAATTTCAGCCATCTGGGTAGAGCAGGGTATATGAACAATTTGGCCTCTCCTCCTCAGGTCCTGGGTATGCCCATAATTTCGCCAGGCTATCTCCATAATTTGTGCATTCCGGTAGTTGGTTATAACTTGTAACTGCAATTTCGACGTACCAACTTCATGCTGGGCATGCAAATAATTCCCACCGGTAGTTTTCCGGGTATAGGTGTGCAAGTTGGCACTGGGGATGGGTATAGTGGGTATTCCCATCTTTAAGAGGGGTACAGATGCAATTTTCCCTTTAACTTTTTGGTTTTTGGTTTTCCTCGGGGGGGGGGGGGGGGGGGGGGGGGG